TTGGGAGCCGCTTTCCGCAGCGCAGAGTGGACATGAAGGGCGGAGGCGGTTCCCTCGAGCATGGCCCATCCTTGCACCAAGAAGGTCGTGGAAGGACTGTGATGTTGGGGAAAAACGCGCCCGACATTCTTGTTTTTCTGGACTTATCGCCCGCCCCCGCTCGCGCATCTCAGCGTCCCTGCGCCCCGCTTCCCAGGAGCACACGAAGCCCCCCCTCCGGCATCTGACAGCGCCCGCCGCTTCCCAGCTCGGCCTGCAGGCGCGTGGCCAAGCCCAAATGGCCCCTGCTGGCCATGGTGGGCGGCTAGCGTGTCCCTCTCGGCCAGTTGACGCCACCGCCTCCGTCTGGACAGCGACTGAGCCGCAGCGCACCCCGCGCAGGGAAGCCCAGCTTCATTCAGGGCGCTCCCGCCGCCTTCCAGCCTCTCAGGATTTTGAGCTCCTGATCCAATCACGCTGACTCGTTTCATCCTCCTCCCCTACTTAGTTTGTGGAAGGGCCGAGCACCAAGGAAGCGCCTGACACTTCCTTCCTTGGACACGACGAATCCATTAATCAGCGCTTTGGCTCTGTATCTGACCCGCTGTTATTCTCCAGCTGTATTGTCCTCAGTCCCTTTTCTCTTCTAACCACCAGAGCATATGCTGGAGCGTTCTTTAAAACTCTTGGAAGAGATTAATATACTCTGACTTGACACTCACACAGATTATTATTCTGCAAACCTCAACAATGTGGCTTTTTTCATGACTTAATGAATTCAAGTGTTTTCTAGTTTTACCCTCATGAAGCATTCACATCACTCGTTGACTAAGCCTTTCTACAGTTTTCCACAGCTTTTTGATCTCTAGTTTCTGAAACCCATTTTTTCCTATCTCCCATCTCTGCCTCTTCTTTTGTTCTCTAGAAAGCTACAAAATTAGTAACTATGATTTTGCAACCCAATTTATAAGTTTTCCAGTACAGAGCGTACAGGGAAACTTCAGCAAGAAACTTCTCAGCGACTCCAGCTGGCCTTGGCTTCCCTCTCCTGACAGTGTCACGGGTTCCACCAACCCTTGATGGAGTCCAGCCTTGATTGCCACAGCCAACACATATCTGTGGGGCCCAGAAGTGCTCCGTTCTGCTTTCTGTTTAGTTCCAGGGGTAGGAAATGATTCATTCAAGGGAAGAAGCATTTACTGAATCTACCCTAGTGTTTAAATATTACTATGTGTAATCCTCACACCAGCACCTCGTGGCAAGGTACCAAGGTCCACATTTTACTGATGAGAAAACCATGCTGGTCTAAGGTCAAAGAGGCAAGAAGAGATTGTAGCCCAGGTCTGTCTGTACTTTTCCTGTATCATCTCACCGGTGGCAAGGCTGACTCTTAAAAGGGAGATTAATTTAGGAAACGAAGATTGAAACAAAAAAATCATCCCCCCTAATGTATACCCCTATATATGTACAAATGAGTCTAGGATTCATCAGAGACTGGCCTGGTGCTTTCGCAACTAGGCAGCCTCAGTCACCTCAGCCCTGATGGCTAAGAAACTGAGACTCTGAGAGGCTAATGGGAGTGCACACATGGGCCGTGGCACCTGTGCTGTGCTCTAGGGCAGGGCTTAGCCTGCAGTCCTGGCCACAGACAGTTGCCATCTATTTTGGGTGGGGTGGGGTGGGGTGGGGGGTGTTACCTGGAGTCCTGACACCACCTTACAAAGATGCACAGCAACAGTGGCGACCACCTTCTGACAAGAGAAAAAGGCAGATTGTTTCCCGCCCCTGGTACTGCTGGCCCAGTCATTTAAAGTATTGATGTGCTTGCCACTATCTCCTCACCTATCTTGGGATTCAGTTCCCTCCTGACCAGGTCTGTTCTAAGCTTTCCATTTACATAGTGCTGCTGGCTGGAGAAGAGGAGAAATGAACGGAAGGACAGCGCTGGCCTAATGCTGGGCCAGCCTTTCCTTTGGTCTAATGTCTCTGAGCTACTTGGAAAATGCCTCTTATTATCCTCAGAATGTTTCTAAACACTGGCTCTAGACATAGGGTGCTAGCACTCCTAACTTTTCAGTCCGCCCTCTTGTTCATCTGTCTTTGGCACATAGTAGGCCCTCAATAAACATGTGAAATGAATGGACGACCAAGTACCTTACGTGCCCTTGTTCTGTCCTTTGTACACTTGTGCACATGTGCACACACACAATCCTGTGTTATCTACCTCACCAGCTTCCCCTCTGAAGACACTCTGGCTCGTTCCTTGTGTTTATTTTCTTATCAGGACCACTCTGGCATTTGTACTGGAGACTTTTCCTTTTTCAGTCACTTTCCCCTTTTACAGCCTGGTGTGGCATTCCAGGCACAGGCTGACTGAGCCCTGCCCTCCCCTTCCTTTCCGACCAATACTCTTGCCAGGATCCAGATGAAGGCGAATGACCTTCCAGTTTTGTTTTTCACTCTGGCTTCTTACTGAGTAGCTGTCAATTTACTGAACATAGGATGTTCAGTATAATAAGAAACTACCAAACATCTACACTAGCGTTGGCCCACAGAACTTCCAATGAAGGAACTGTTCTTTATGAGCCATCCAAGTGTGGCTACTGAGCACCTGAAATGGATCAAGGTGACTGGGGAGTGGAATTTTAAATTTTAAGTAATTTTAATGAACTTACATGTAAACAGCCATGTTGCTACGGCTGTTGCTATGGACAGTGCAGGTCTGAATATTTTGCTGTATATCTTACCTTTCTGCTTCTTTTGACACATATTAGAAATTATATCTCTCTGGGCAGTATTCTATTTTATGTTATTCTATTTTTTTAAGATTTTTTTGATGTGGACCATTCTTAAAGTCTTTATTGAATTTGTTACGATGTTGCTTCTGTTTTATGTTTTGGTTTTTTGGCTGCGGGCCATGTGGGATCCTAGCTCCCTGACCAGGGATCGAACCCGCAACCCCTGCAATGGAAGGCGAAGTTTTAACCCTGGACCGCCAGGGAAGTCCCTCTGTTTTCTTTTTATCTTGGCTCACATTTTTTTTCACTTCTCTCGTTCGTCAATTCCCCTAACACACATGGGTTCATTGAGAAACCCTGAACACACATTTTATAAAACATTTCCAGTATGAAATATTCTGCCCGGTGGTTCCATACCTAGCGGAATTCCATAGGAACTTACATTTCCAGACTACCCACTCCCCAGTGGTTTTCTTAGTCTCAGAATGTTTATGAAAATAGTCTGAAGGTTTGTTTTTGGCTCAGAAGTCGCAGACAGACGTAAGGAAACCACCCCCATCCATTATTCCTTTGCAACGATCAGCCCTCCTGTTACCCTCCCTTGCTTCAGGGGTACCTGTGCTAGCTTTGAATTCCCTGTCCTAACACTTCAATGCTGCTCAAATGCCCAGGTTAACACTCCCACCTAGTTTACTAAATGCCCTGGCGTCTACTTTCTCATTGTACCCACTGGCTGGGATGAAGCGGCCTGAGGCTGTCAGCAGTCTTTCCGCCAGTTATTTTCTCCTGAAAGCCACCTCCTTCATATGTGTTAGACCACATCACATTCCACGCAGGTGGTTTTCAACCACCTGGACATGCTAGGAATGCAGATTCTCAGGCCCAACCCCGGAACCTACTGAGTCACAAGTTCTGGGGCAGGGCTGGGAATTCTTTATGGAGGTCATGTTGACGCACTGAAGTTTGAGAACCACTATATCAGGATTGCAAAATGGTGATCTTGAAATTCTATCATTCCTCACTCATTCATCTGCGGAATTCCTCTGTAAAGTTCCCTGATCAACTAGGTTATCATGAATTGCAATTTGTAGAAAAAAGGCAGGATAATCATTTCATCATTTTCCTTTAATTGTCCATTTTCAGTGTCAGGGTTAGTGCCCTAGTTACTTTCAAGAGTGACCAATTATATTTCTCGTTCGGTTACTTTTGGCTTTCTAAAACTATCATTATGAATTCAGTTTTTAATATATTCCATCTGTTTCAATCAGACATGGCCACTGTTGTTTGGACTGGTAAACATCCAAAAGCTTACCATACTTTCTCTGCAAAGCTGTGGGAAACAGGGACTGAGACACTGTGGTGGGAATGCAGAATGTCACAGCCCTCTTGACGAGAACTTACCAGCATCTAACAAAACGACAAGTGCATTTGCCCTCTGACCCAGCAACCCTACTTCTAGAAATCCACTTCTAAGAAACTGGCTAAGAAAATGACTTCACAGTTACTCACTGTGGCATCAACACAAATGTCCTGCCGGGGACAAGGTACGCTCGTGCAGTGGAGGAGCGCTCGGCCGTAGGATGGGTGACAAGGAAGGACCTCCAGGATATACAGGCAAGGGGCAGGGCCGGCTGTCTACACAACAGAAATACATACTTGCCTTCTGTTTTCTTAGGACACTGACTAGAAAGAAAAACAACAGTGGGTCCTGCGGAGGACAGAGAGGAGAGCAGGAGGGGCAGTTAAGGAGGTGAGCTCTGAACACAACGGGCTTTGAAATCATGTCAACGCTTTACATATTTACAAACTTTAAACTTTTAAAGGCAATCCCTAAACTAGAAAAATCGAATCGGAAATGAATGAACTCAATTGCCTCGGACTGGATTCTACAGAAGCCGACCCTGAGACAAGAACCTGGAAGGTGGCCCCAAGCAGCATCTGTGTGGAGGTGGAAAAGGAAGAAAGCCATTTGCACCCACATCAGTTTCACTTAGTATTCGGTCATTCAAATACTTCAGGACCCACGTTCACATATTAAACCGTTTGCTTCCTAAGAACTAGGAGGAAACGTCTGTTTTCTTCATTTGCTGTCAGGCACCAAAATGCATTCTCACTTAAACATACACTGCAGCAAAACTTCTGGATTTTGATGCAACAGAATAAAAAGATAGTCATGTTTTATGTTTCAGGTCAACAAATATGCCTCAGGTCAAACAGTAAGGTTTTAAAGGAACTTGGAAATAAACGCAAGTTTGTAACATGTTTCATCTAAGAATTGCGCCCAGTTTTATTATCTCTCCGGAATGAAGCAGGGACAAAGGCAAGCTGAACACTTCCTGGCTGTTGATTACTGGCAAGCTGCCGGCCTCTGGTAGGAATCTCTGTCAAGTGGCATCCTCAGTCACTCGAGGACAGTTTAAGAAGGCAGTTACAGTATGAACACGTGCATGAGCTATTATACATAATTACAAGAGCTGGTAAACTCCGGTCTCCTCAGTAGGAGCGGATGGCTGGGGGGACAGTGGCGCAGTCAGCCTCGTTCAATGTTCTGTCGATTACGGGTCTGTATTCCAGGGAGACCTAAGAAAGAAGAGTCGGTGATGAGTTAGCGCACAAAAAAACGTACAAACAACCCTCTTGTATGCTTTTGGAAAATTAACCATAAAAGCAGATTTGCAGACAAACAGGAACTTAAAAACAAAGGTATTCACGGGAACATTTTTCAATAACAAACTCGGGACTGACTATGTAAATCCATGTATGGAGTACAGCAATTAAAATAACATTGTACCAAATTCTCAATGCCTTAAACTAAAACTTAAACTGAAAATGCTCAAAAAGTAGGTGACACCCTGTATGTACTATTATCCTTTATCCGTAAATTACGTTTGCATTTGCAGTTTTTCCTACTTCTAAGTGAACAATCTTATATACATACGAAACTTGAGAGAAATTTTTCAAAATGATAAAAGATCTCTGATTGCTGAGCTTATAAATGTTAATTTTCTTCATTCTTCTTGTACTTTCTAAAATGAGCATGTATTTCTTTTACGATCATAAAAAACCCCAAACACTACAAAAGTAGGCTTGTATTAAGAGGAGCGTCTGACTATACACTGTCAGAAAAGAGCCTACGTGAAGAACTATGAAAATTGCTGTCTGCCTGTATTAAACAATCCCACTAGGCACTCTGGAAGTATGAGGACACAGCATAACTTCTATAAACCCAGATAGACAATTAAGACTATCCCTTAGGGAGCTTTGAAAAGCTTACACTTTACATATTAATTATTTCTGAGTCTTAATGCCGAGCAGAAAGGCCAAATGGGTGAGTTACGCTTTGCCGGGGTAAGACCGACTGGGGCCCCACTGCTCTTTCAGCTGGTGGTTTCCAGGACCCTGCCGGCCCCCTGCCCCTCCCAACTTGTTCCCTGCCCGGGGAAGTTATGAGCTGAACAGCATCCCCCGGGCTTCCCCCGAGGCTGCGTCCAGGTGGTCCAGTCAAAGGGAAGGGAGGGGAGGGGTGCCTTCCCGCCCCACCCCCATCCCTGCCCGCAGCTCTCTGCGGGCTCAGAACCTCCATCTGCCCCCCTACAGCAGGCCTCTGGCGCTGGCCCACCCCTGCCCAGCACCAGCACCGTGGGGGCGGCCCTCATGGACCACCCGCCCACGCGGGGTTCTGTTTCCGGGCAGAAGCCTGACTGTGTCTTCTCAGTGGTGTCTCAAATCTGTCCACAGTCCACTGAAACCCATGCTGCTTCTCCCGGCTCACCGAACGCTGACCGCCGTAACACGAGGGACGGCCCACGTGCCATGGCGTACGTGAGCAGAAGCCGTTCCCCGCGTACCTTCCCAGTCCTGATGTCCACGTAGGAGAGCGTGTGCTTCCTCCAGTGCCCCTCAAACGGCCTCTTGTGCTGCCCCTGGATGGGCTTGGAGTAATCGTACTCGTCAACCCGCTCCTGAGGCCACAGAAAGTACGTTTATTTCAGACAGTGCCGTCAACAAACATTCTACACGGCAAAACCAGAAAACACGGCAAAATACGGCAAACTCATTAAAAAGACACACGAGACTAGTCTGACATTAATTCCCCAGATCCCACTCAACAAGGAGGTCTCCATCGGCAAAGCGGACCTCGTGCAGAGCCAGGACCTTCCCAGTCCAAGCATGTCTCTACAATCCCCACCGAAACCACGCGTGCAGATCTGACCCGGAAGAGCACATGGCAAGAACACGCGCCACCGACCACCACACGCAGAGGAAGGCCACGAGACTCGGGATCCCTCGGCCAGTGGCCAGTCCTCTAGACGCACCCGTGGGCCCTCACTGATGAGCTGTCAGTCCTCTGGACGTAGAGATAAGCCCTGCACTCTGCGCTGGCCCAGCCTAGGGCCCCCTCCCCTTTACTCATCTCATCTGCACCCCAGCAGTCTGACAAGGTCAGGCCCCGTGCAGCACAGGTGGGCAGCAGGCTGCAGCACAGTGGGACCCAGGGCTCCACTTCTGCATTTTCTCTCTACAACTAGCAGACGGGTGTGGGAATTAAATTGATCTTTTATGCATTTAAAAATTTATCAAATACTTTCCCTGTCTTTTTGCTCTGTACTCTTGCAGAGTTCGACTTTTTCTTTCAGCCTTTTTTATTTAAATGTTCTAATTTTAGCAATTATATTAAATTTTCCAGAAATTTTTAAAGAGAGGCTGAATGCTGCTAAGGAATGTCTTGCACGTGGTAACAGATAAGACACACAAAAGCCTCTTCAAATAAAACCCAAAACGTCCAACTACTTGGCAGCTTCTGCTGAGCCAAGGCCAGGCTCTCGCAGGGCGCAATGGGGCGGGAAGCACACTCCCTCACTCCACACCCGTGCCTCCCAGGATGAGCGGGCTCTGCCTGCACATGTGCAGTGACGTCTCAGCCGCAGGAACCAACCACGGGCTCTGGGAGAGGCTTCTGTCCTTGGTGCACAGGACGAGCGTGCTCACCAACCTCCCCCTCTAACCAAGTACTCAGCAACTGGAATCCAGCTCCAATCAGTGTCTCGTGGTGGATCGAAATCCAGTTCTTCTTGCCCAGCCTCTAGCTGAGCCACCCAAACACTGTCCCGGACCAAAGCCTCTGTGTCCACCATGGGAAAGCAGCTCAGCTGCTGCTAATGTGCTCCATCCTTAACTTGACCGCCCCCCAAACAACCGCTTCTGTGAAAATCTTAACTACCACACGCCAAGTACTCTTTTCTGCAGAATCTGATAAGTGAGCGCTGCATAAACACCAGTTCATTAAAACAACGGTGATCCAAGATGAGGCTCTATAATCCTTTCCCAAACCAGAGGTGGGTCTGAAACAATGAGTTACTCATCACTTCAAGTCAGTAGGTGAGCACTTCCAGGCAACAGAACCCGCTGCACACTAACCTTTGCCCTAACGAGGCTGAGAGATGTAGCCCCGGATACCGATCCAAAGCCAGAAAAAGGTCAAACTAGTACTGAACTCGGTGAGAACAAAGGTACGAAGGTTATCAGAAGAGAAAAAGCATCCTTCTCAACTGACTTGTGGGAAATGCAGAGAAAGCGCAGAGAAGCGAATGCAGAGAGTGCAGGGTCAGGGCTGAGCAACGCAGCGGGGAGGACAGCGGTGCACGTGGTGGTGGCAGTGGTGGGCGGGGGGTGGGGGTTGGACATGAAGGTGCACCTTGAAATCCTCCCTGGCATGAGCGCCGCGAGACTCCTTCCGGGCCTCTGCTCCATAAATGGTCTGCAGGGCACAAAGCATCAGGTTCTGCAGCTCCAGGGTCTCCACCAGGTCAGTGTTCCAGACCATTCCTGGGCACACAAGGCAGCCGTCAAAGACAACAGGACGCAGCCAGTGTCCACTCAGCAAGGACGAGTTACGTCAGCGCTAAACGGGTCAGGCTGCGCCCAGAAGCAGCCCGCCCTGCAGACATCCAGCAACAACCGTACGCAAGGGCCCGAGGAACCACTCACCCCTGTCAAACGTCTTCAGATGCTTTAGATCGCCGTAGAGCTTGCTGATCTTCTCACAGCCTTCCCGTAACACGCTTCCCACACGGAACACTGCGGCATGACTTTGCATCGACTGTAATACAGAATATTTGTAAGCTTTTAATCCATGTGGAAAAGCCACGCCAAGAATTGTTAAACCCTTAGGTTCTTTTTCTTATGCATTTCATTTTTTGTACAATATTTATGTAAATAGAAAAACTAGGAAATTCAGACTGTGAGTTTATTACTCTGAATTTTAAAACGAAGTTTGTTTGTTTGTTTGTGAGAACTTCAAAGACCTACTCTTTAAGCAACTTCCAAATGTACAATAGAGTAACATTAACTATAGTCACTATGCTGTACGTTCGATCTCCCGGGCTTATTTTCATCTGGAGACTTGTACCTTTAGATGCCCTTTCTCCATGCTTCTGTTCCTTCACTCCTGCCCCCTGCCTTACCATCCCATGAGGCCTCCCCGAAGCCCAGTCTCGTTTGAAGACGGAACCAGAGAACCACAGTCCTACGAGAAGGGCCATATTCACCTTTTCCCTTTTGGTGGTGTCTGTGTGGATGGCCCAATGGAACCCTTTCAGGATGCAACTAAAGCAAGGGGCTTCTTTCCAGAAAACGCGCCCACACAGAAATTCTCACAAATAATTTCAAGTGGATAAAGGTCTCATTCAGGGACCAAGAATCCTGGTATTAAAAGAAGTTGATTGATCCCTAGCTGTTTTATTTACTTATTTATTTACCTAGAGTAGTCAACTGGTATTTTTAACTGACCTAAACCTGTGTTACCTCACGCAGTAGCCACTAACCACGTGTACCTACCTACATTTAAACTGAAATTGAATAAAATTAACTTAGGCCGGCCTCATTCCCCACGCTCCACTATCACGTCAGAAATACAGACCATTCCAGCGGACGTGCTGACGCAGGTGAGCACGGCTTCCACATGTCATCCACACTCCCCTCCTGACCTCATTCAGGGGCATCAACGGGCCCAGTTTAAAGACATTTCCCAGAGTTGCCGTGAGTAGGTATGATGATGGGATTATTCCTCAGCAACGAGATGTGCTGGGCTTGGGAAGCTCCCAGCTGGGAACCGAGCTTCTCGGACCTTCCACTGTCCCTCCTCCTTCAGGCTGGGACAGAAGACCAGGGACAGAGACGGTCTGAGGAGGGAAGCTGCACCGAATGCCTAGCACCTCTGAGAGAAGGCCGAGTCCTGATGCTGCAGAGCTGCTGTGTCTGCCCTGGGCTGCCCTCTCCAGCCTTCAGTGTGGAAAGCACACCCTTTTACCTTACTCGGGCCTGAGCACGCCTCCGTGGCTCGGCAACCCCAGCGCAGGGCTGCCAACGCAGCCGGCCCGCCCATCCAGAGCGTGTCCAGCCTCCTACCTTTTGCATGTTCAGCCGCAGTTCCGACGTTCTTATGCTTCCGTTGGCAAATCTCAATTTGTCAAGATTCATGACAGATTCTTCCCCAGCATTTGGTTTAATCAAGGGAACTTTATCTCCTTTCAAAAAGACAAAAAGCAAAAACAAAAAACCCCACCAAATGTGTATTATACCCTTTCAGAGAGTTTGGGAAATGCATGCATAACCTGAGTTAATATTCCACCTGGACCACTCTATCCCTGAGGAAGCATCTACTGACTTGGGGCCAAAGAATAAACAAAAAGACAAAATTTCTGGCAAAAAGTTGGTGTCCAATAAGTAATCTTTGAATGAATAAAACAGAAACCCTCTCTTAAGGTCAAAAATTAGATTTATGCAAACAAACCTTGCACAGCTACACTGGGAAGGAAAAAATTTCATCCTCCATAGCCGCTCCCATTCTGCCCAACCCCATTCTGGTTCTCAGACCTGGTGGGGGCGGGGGGCTGGCTGGAGGTATTTAACAGCCTCCTGCCGACCCTGGCCCTGCACCCTCTTACAAAAACCTCAAGATCTTCCGTTCTTGCCTTTTTCTAGGAAGATAAACGCTCTGAGGGTTTTTAAGCTGTTCTGGGATGACATGTTTTTAAATGTATTTTCTGTAGAAGGTAACACACGCAGGCGTGAAATACAGAAGACAAAGCCCTGCAGCCACTCTCTCCAAGGCGAGACCTGCCCAAGCTCTTCTAGGCAGGCAATTTTGCTAGCTTTTGTTTTTAATGCTTTAAAAAACGATCATTCCGTCAAACGGAGTTTTATCCTTAGGTGCACCGTTCTACAAATTTTAACACACACGTAGACTCCTGTCACTATCATGATCAGACTATAGAAATTAAGCATTTTAACGTTTAAAATAGTCCTACTTTGGGGAAAGTGGTGGGGCAAAAAACACTTTTCCTCTCCTTTTGTCTTTAAAAACTAAAGCGTAACGAAGGTGTGATACCACTTTGAGTGCAGTTTGCTGCTTTTGACAAGCAGAGCTGCGTCAGCCCCACCACAAGTGGACCCAGGCCCTGGTGACCACCCACCGTCTCCTGCCCCAGCTTCCCTTCTCCAGATGTCACACACAAAAAATTGCACATATGTGGTCTCTTGCGTCTGGATCACACAGCCTGACAAAGATCCACCCGTGCTGCGCACGTGTGGGCAGTCTGTTCCTTTTTAATGCTGAGTTCCAAAGGTTTTAAACGCGTGCATTTCTCCTTCAGATAGAAAAGTATTCTCAAAAAACTTCCCTTTTCTCGCTGTCCAAGAAAGGGAACCTCAAATTTTCTGCTTTGCTCTGAGAGATGCTCCTGGGCTCTGGCTACAGCAAAATGAACACCAGAGCTGCTTTGAGACTAGCACATGCATCTTTTCCTCGGCAAATGATTTTAAGTCACCACAAAAGACAATCACTGATGGAAATCCATTCTCTCACTGAGGGGAGAGAGCTGTGACCCATCTTCTATTTTGTTTGCATTAACTCCTCCCTTTCTCCCTTAACAGATTTAGTTATAGTTTGTTTTTAGTATTTTATTAATTTTCTCCAAGTACCAAAAAATTATACATTCATTTATACCTGCCGTTTAAAACGTTTCCTTGGAGATAATTCATACCAGACAAGTAGTATGTGATAAACCCCTATTAAATAACGTTTTCCCAACAGTGATTTTTCTGAGAACATGGTGACTGCAAAAAACCTGACTGAAGTTACTCTTCTAACTGCCCCACCTACCCTGTGTCTAGCCTCAGGTCTCTCAGCATAAAAACCTCTGACTTTGTTTCCTCGCTTCCAGGGAACCCGCTAGTGACCGCGATGCAAAGCGCCCTGAAACAGCCAGACCGCCGGAAGGAGCACGCACCGGGCCTGCAGGACTCCGCGATGCCCAGCGCGCACGCCCGGCCGAAGACGACCAGGTCCAGGAGCGAGTTCGCCCCTAGCCGGTTGGCGCCGTGCACCGACGCGCAGGCAGCCTCCCCACACGCGTACAGGCCGGGCACGACCTGGTCCTGGCCACCCACGTGCTTCAGGACCTGGAGAGGAAGACTGAGATTACGGGTCGCGGTCTGCTCAGCCCCCCTCCCCTAGAGCAGGGGGTCGGAAGGAGGAGAAACGCAAAAACTGGGCCTGCACCACCGACAGGGACCCCCGCAGACACCGCGCAGCCTCCTTCCCTGGCCCCCGTGCCGAGGTCAAAGGACCCCAGGGCCACTCCGCACACCCGGCAGCGCCTCACCCACCTCCCGACGTGCCCCTGCACACCCGCTCCGACGGCGGGCTCACAGCAGCAGAGCATGGCGGGCGGAGGGCCTTCAACGGGAAGGCGGGGGACTGGAGTCGTACGTCAGCCTCTTACAACAGTCCCACCCAGTTAGCTGCCTGAGGAGGACTGAAACCAGGTGACTAAAAAGCTCTTTGTGAGCCGCAAACCATCCAAAGGTGTTGACTGTAAAGAACACTTTGTAACACACAACCAGGTAGGAAAACTGCAAATGACCTCACGTCTATGACTGCGTACTAAGAAGGGATGAATCAATTATCAGCGGTTACTTGAGGCATGAACGCAGACACCGCAGTCAAGCCAAGGCTCCTGCCCTGCCTACCAGACCACCCAGGGCTTCTGAGGGAGGCCCCGTGCGAGGGGCCTGCTGTGGCACGGGCTCGGCACCGTCACCTGCCCCTTGTAGTTGGTGGGGATGCCGCCCATGTTATAGTGCACGGTGGGAAGCACGGGGATCGGCTCCTTGGTGACGTCCACACCCGCGAAGATCATGGCTGTCTCCGAGATGCCAGGCAGGCGCATAGCCAGCTGTTCCGGGGGGAGGTGGTGCAGCTGCAGGTACACGTGATCCTTCTCAGGGCCACAGCCTCTGGTGAAAAACGACATCACGCCGTAAGGTCGAGAACAGCAATCCAGAAACCGTGAGGTCACGAAATCCTGGCAGCACACGAGGTTCCACATGCTTTGATGCTGGAGAAAATGCTCCCTTCATTAAGGCCACCTTTTCATGGCGTCTCTTCTCAGCACCCACCATGCGCCAAGGTAGACACCAGGTGCTGGGATGCAGCCACGAACACAACGGAAGCCCTGACCTCACCGGGCTCCCACCTGAGGGTCGGGAGGTGACAATTTGCCACACTCTCCCTGGTGGATGCATTACAGGGGTCTTTCACGCCAGATGCTCCAAAGAACCACATGACGTCTCCTTTCTTGTGTGCGAACGTGACGCCTCACCCCCAGATACTTAACCAGTGTCACCACAGCGGCACGAAGTCAGGCACTGAGGCCTCACGCTGCTGTGCTGAGGAACAAACAACCCACCCACCTTGAGGGCCCCAAGCACCCGGGAGTTCAAGCAGCGTACGAGCTGAAGCTCGCGCACTGAACTCAGGACAGGGGTGTGTCTTCTCCCCCATACTGTCTGCTTCTGTCACACACTCACTCACACACACAAGCCATCTGAGATGGACTTACAGCTAACTGGCTAAACTTCTCAAATGTAGAGATCCTAAACTGACAGACAACAGTCAGAGGTTAACTGCACATAGGCCTCCGGGGTGGGCAGGGTGCCGACACACACAGAAGCCCCCCAGCCCATGCTGAAATGCAGACGCAAATCACAGCCACCAGAGGGGTGGGGCGTGCAGAAACGCTCAGACCCCTCTGGGTACACGCACACATACCTTCCTTCACGGATCTCCAGGGTCATGGAGCGGGATACGACGTCCCTGGACGCCAGGTCCTTTGCGACAGGAGCATAGCGCTCCATGAACCTCTCGCCTTGACTGTTGATAAGGATGCCTCCCTCTCCACGGCACCCTTCCGTGATGAGACAGCCAGCACCGTATATGCCTGCAAACAACGAACTGATTAAACACATATAACCTAAGGACCGCTGGGCCTACATCTCAAATGCAGATGTTTTTCCCAAGATACTTTGGGAGGAGACAGAAAGGGTGTGCAAAGAGCACCACACTCACGAGCGTGAGAGAGGAAAAGTTAGGGCACAGCGCAATGCCGCGGTATGAAAAAACGCAATGACCAAGCTGCAGAGGAGAAAGGTCGGCTGTGTGGACGACGCGGCTCTGCTCAATACTCCGATTACAACTGTGCTTTAAACTCTCAACATGACAAAGTTTATGTTAAATATCTCGGCTTTAATTGTTACTAAAACCTTATCAGGTTTTAATTGCTAAATGTCCTTTTGCACCATGAAATTGTGTTGGCTCCTGTAGGTACAGAAACCAGCTTGGAAATTTGGCGTATCAAGTAACCAAACAACAATACGGCAATGAGCACTACACCGATACTTAGGTTGCACCCGCTGTGTACAACTCTAAGTCTCACCACAACCCCGTGGGATGGTCCCCCTCTGCCGAGACAAGCCCACCAATATGACGCTGGGAGACGCAGAGCCCAAATCCAAATCTGGCAACGGGGAGCGGGGAGCTGCGCCCCGATCGCAACCGTCCCTCTACGTAAGGAGCACAAGGACGCCCGGCGCTGGGTGTTGCACGCCCATCAGCGTAGTTTGAAGGCTATCACTTTTATTAGTGCACCCAAGGGTTACCCTGCCTTTAAAACAAGATGCAAATTCCTGTATCTCATCTTTCAGCTTTCCTAGTTTCAGTGGCCATGTCTTCTGGCGGTTTATTTCTCATACGTTGAAAAGGAAGCAAAGGAAATGGAGCTCTAACTGTAGAGGGGATTCAGAAGTCTCAGACATTTTATCGGTTAAAAGTAGCAATAAGACTGCGTCCTAACACTTGTTTTTACCACTCATCCCTGCCAGGGCCAGAAAGAACACACGGACAGAGCAAAGAGAAAAAAACAGGCCCTGTTCATTAGTACAGTGGCAGCTCCTCAGCTGACAGATCAGCAAACAACCCAGAAAGCAGGTTCAGGACGGGACTCACCAACTCCCCTCCCAGGCCCCCCGCGTTCGTGCGCTCATCACCCCACTCGGGGGCATCCCAGGCCCGCCCGCCGTGCTGTCGCCGGGGCCGCCCCTGCCACCTGTCCGCCACTCTTCACGCAAATGCACTCCCTCTGGCTCCACCTACGGAGGCCCTACCACGCGCTGGGCGCTGCGAGGACAGCGGTAAATGAGACAGACCTGCCCCCGCCTCCCGGGGGGCGCTGACACCCTAGTCGAGGAGAGGGACACCGAACAGCCGCGGCCTCGCGTGTGGCTGAGCGCGCCGAGACACGGCGTGCAAGTAAGACGCTGGCCTGCACTGCCTTGGGGGCGTACGGAAGAATCTCCTCGGGGAAGTCACGAGTTAGGATGTGAGATATGAGAAAGCAAGTGCACCCAGCTGCAGAGGAGCCTTCCCACAGGTACCGAGCACCTGAAAGGCACAGAGCCTGATGCCATCCTACCTGTGGGGTGGAACTGAACAAACTCCAGGTCCTGGCAGGGAAGGCCCGCCCTGGTGATCATGGCAGTGCCGTCCCCGGTGCTGGTGTGGGCGGACGTGCAGCTGAAGTAGGTGCGCCCGTAGCCCCTGGAAAACAGACAGGCCGGCAGAGAGGTGACTGTGCAGGCGCCCCATCAGGACCTCCTTTCTAATGGGCTGCAGTGGACCAGGCAGCACCTCTGTGGGTGCGTGTGCGCACGTTGCCCTGGGCAACTGGGACGGTAGCCTGGGGGGCAGAGAAGGCGCTCTCGCTTGTACCTTAGGGCACTTCTGTGCTATGTAACTGATTTCCCTGATAAAAATGTATAAAATAATAAAATCTAAAAACAGTTATGGATGCACTTCTTAAACGGTTAAAATAACAGACTGACGTATATAAGATGGAAGTTACTCGTTTTCCTCATGTGAACAAACAGCACCCTTCTACCCCAGAAATCAGCGTAAACACAGCATCCCTCAAAGCAAAGGACACGCTACTCCAGACAGCGTCAGACTCTCCCGGCCTGTCTCCTCAAGGGTCCTCCCAGCTATGAGCTGCTGACACTTTCTTGCCACCGTGAGGCAGGTGCCGGTGTCGCCCCTCAGGCCCACAAAGCTACCCCTCGCTGGGTGAAGTCACAGCCTGCGCCTCAGCCATCACTCCGCGACACCCCTATTCTCATTAGAATAAATAAATTCAGCTCGCCTGCAGAGAAGTTGAACACGACTAAGCCAGACTCTTACCCAGTAGCTACAACCGTGTTCTTTGCTCTGATGCGGTGGATGGACCCGTCTTCTATGCACAGAGCAATAACGCCTCGACACTCCCCGTTCTCCATCAGGAGATCCAAGGCAAAATACTCCACAAAATAGCTGGTATCATATCGCAGAGACTGAAAAAGAAAGAAAAACAACCAAAAAAAGAGGTCCTGCATTTGCAATTGCACTGTTAAAGCTAACAGATTAGAGACCTTGATCTGGCGTGGGGCACAGGGATCAGGCGGACCCTAGCGGAACACCGGGCTGGAAAAGGAGCCACAGACTTCAACCCATGGACGGCAGTGCTGACGCATCGTGTGACAACTCAGCTGTACAAACAACGCACCCCAGAAGAGGATGCCGCACGTGGGACACATCTCTCAGCTCTACACAACCCCGAGAGGCGCCAGAGAGGCAACACTAACCTCCCCTCAGAGCTGCTGCGAGAGCTGTGCCCGTGGACCATGGGGTCCCGACTTAGACCAGGGTGTACTGCACGGCGTCTGCTGCCATGTGGCCACTTAGTCCAAGTAAAGCAAAACGCTCAGCACATTTGTAATGATTATCAATTTCATTTTTTTAGAACAGATACTTTCAAATTAACAACTATCAAGTTACTCTGCTGCTCAAAAAGCGATCCCCGGGCGGACAGGCTGACAGGCTGACCTGTCCCCGGGGTGGCCTGCTTCCCACGTCACCACACGCCTGGCCTGGCCGCGTCCCACCACCCTGTGCACCCAGGGCACCTCACCCTTCCATACAAAGTGTGCAGCAGCGAGTGGCCAGTGCGGTCGGCCACGCAGCAGCACCGATGGGCCTGCCCGCCTTTCCCAAACTGGAGGCTCTGTCCACCGAAGGCGCGCTGGTAGATCTTCCCGTCTTCAGTTCTGCTAAACGGCATGCCGTAATTCTCCAGCTGAGAAACAGAGAAACACCTCGCGCCTTAACGGGATCCAGACGCTCATGGCTAACTCACACCAGAACCTCAACACAAATCTGCAGGCCCAGAACAAACACATCCTACGGAGAGCTCAGCAGCAGGAGACAGGAGCACTCCTGTTAGAGCAGCTCACTGCCAACCTGCCGGCTGAGCGCTCCCACCACAACCCCTCCTGCATCGGACAGCCAGCAAGGACGTTACCTCCACCACCGAGGCCGGGGCCTGCTCCGTCATGTAGTGGATGGCATCCTGGTCCCCCAGCCAGTCGGAGCCCTTCACGGTGTCATAGAAGTGCCACCTCCAGTTGTCCTCCTCCATGTTCCCCAGGGCGGCGTTGATCCCTCCCTGAAACACCAGCAGCCCCGTGAGCTACAGCAGGCTCACCTCCCCACTGCCTCCGGCCTGGAAGCAGAGTCGGAAAAAGCCAGCTACTCGTGGGAGAGGGCCAGCGAGGGATCTCACCGTCCGGCAGACTCCCCCTGCAACCTAGAGGCAGGGCCCGGTTATGGAATCCCCCAGCCCCAGGCGCCTCACCCATGAGAGGGACACGGAGCCCAACCCCTTGGGGCGCCACCTGGAGGGTCGGCAGAGGCTCCTCAGATGAGGATTCTTCCTTAGCAAGGCCGGCATGTAAAAGGGATTCAAATCTAATAGCTTCGTGACCAACGTTCCCAATGGTACTGGAATGCAGGCGCTAACGGCAGAAGCGCTTCCTGCCGAGGGCTCAGAGCCCCAGCCCCCAACC